GCTGGTGTCAATCAATGGCCGCCGGTGGAGACACTCGCCCCCAGCTGCCGAGGCTGCGGTCCGCTATCCAGCCTAATACGATAGAGATCAGAACCACTCAGTTGGGAAACTGCAATAGAGACTACTCTGAAAAAGTGGCACCGATCCGTACTCGAGAACCGAGCTAATGATGATTACACCACTGTCATTTCTTCCACAGCGGCCACTCGGGGAAATGCGCGCGACTTCTAAGTTCTATTCCGACTTTAATCGGCCATTTTGGCGCCGAAACAGATACGGTGGACGGGGTTTCAGGGGCGCCACCCCCATCTCCCAAGCGTACACGCTGCGGATTACTGCCGAGGTTAAATGCGCCTAGGTCGGGACGCGCTACCTGATATCACCGCTGAGGCATGGTTGTATAAAACAATATTAATTGTGCTGCAAAACCTTGCAAGCTAAAGATTTTAGAAAACATCACGCGCCCTTCATTTTATACTAAACTGCATTAAAAACTACAAGAAAAAATATTTTTCATTGTTTTTACGCAAAAACATGCTTTCTAAAAGCTCAAGGTGACCACAGTAAAAACAAATGATCCAGAGCGGCGCTGTTGTCGCATTTAGCTTGGTCTCGGTGGACGCCAGCGGCTCAGGTTTCAACAGTGAGTTTCCCAACTGCGGGTTCTAGTAGCGTTGGTTCCACTCATTCTTTGACGTGACTGACGTCACGGGCTTATGAACTATCTTTTTTTTCAAAATGGCGTGAGCTGTTTTCAATGTCGTTCTTGCCGAGGGTCAAAACCTCTCGAAAACACCCGGATTAACATTAGCAAAGCTGTGCTGGTATCCGCTTTTGTGCGTCGTACTTTCTGTGGAACGATGTGAGAATTCAGCGATCGTCTCGCTGTCCAACTTAGTCGCCGTCAACGTGCTAAGTTGCATCGCTTGGACGATCGCGTAAGCCTCGTTCAACGAGACCGACGAAAGCGGGGCCGGTGGCCTATCTTTATTTTAGTGTTCGCCATTGAGGCAAGTCGCGTTGCAAAATTGTGACGATGTGAACGTTTTTTCCTGGTAGTTATTTGTTTGGCAATGAGAGAATTGTACAGTCGTGTTCTGTGTGCTCTGTGTCTTCACTTGAAAAATCGACTCGAGATCAGCTCAAGCTTCCTCTACGCAGATGCCTTCCCTTCGCTCGTTCAACTTTCGCCCTTGTGAAAAAAAAAAATGCTGCAAAATCGTCGCGGTGTGCACGTTTTTTCGTGGTGGCGTGACAATGCTGTGGTCACACCGCTCTGCCGATGCGATACGCTGCGTGAAACGCTCGAGTGATGTCTTCTCCGTGCTACCTGACGGAACTCGGCCTGCTTCCCTACTCGCTTCAATAAATGAAGGATGCCCACTGGTATGGCGCCTTCACAGCCATACTTATTTATCCATGAAACTGGCGCCCTCGGCGAGTCTGGTCGTCGTGATCAGTAATAAGGTAGGCAGTAATTGCCTCGTCCTACCAATGTCACACTTGATTGTGCCGTCATTTGCGACGATATGAGGTGGAAAATCTACCAGCATCTCGCATCGTCCGAGATAACAGAGGTACCTTAGCCGCCTTGCGACGATGTCGTCCCGTTCAAAGAGCAGCTAGCTCGCGCCCGAAACCGACGTTGCCGATGTCGCCCTAATCTCGAAACGCACCACGCTCTTGGATAATATTAAACATATTTCTGAACGTGATAGGCATATTTCAAGTTTTGATTCAGTATCCGTTTACAGGCGCCTGCAGCGCCACGTATGCGCGATGGCAGTGTGGGCAAGAAATGCGGTTGCCGCAATCGTGGATACGGCATTCCAATAAAAACATTATCGCAAACTGCCCTGGAATATTGTTACTACGTGAAACGTTTTTAGTTTAGCTCTATAACCTGCAGGTGTTTCTCCTCGACTTGTGCCTCCAGGTATTTCCACACCTCTACACTTCACTGAATAAATTAATGTGTAGGTGACTTGACGTTAATTTTTCCCGCTAAAACTAGCGGGGAAACTGAGCTTGCGTATAGGTCACGTGACGTAAATGTTTACGCTAAATTAAGTGGGGAACTTGAATTTGTGCATAGGTTGAGCGACATGGTGCCATGTAACGCCATTTTTCCGCTAAGCGGTGACATTCGCTGTTACGCTTTTTGAGGCTGCACTTCACCTAAAAGCCCAGCCTACAAACGTCTCACGTTAAGAAATAACAATTGGGGAATTGGGGTAACAGCGTCGGTTTGAGTATAACCGTGGCTTCTTCTTGTTGAGATTGTTGATTCTACGTCCTATGAGTGTCTGATTGCTTCAGTGGTGTCGGGCTCTCAGCAAACTGGACAAATTTCGCTTGACAGCGAAACGTCGTGCGAATATGACGTACAGCGCCCCATACAAAAAATTTATATCAGGCCAGATCTGAAGATTTCAGATATGGCCATATCAGAAATTGGCCTCATATAACCTGATATGGTATAGCTGCCAGATATAGCCTCATAATGCCGGATATAGCCTGATACCCTGCCAGGTATGGAAATCCCCGATCTGGCTAAGTAAGGGAATTCCAGACCTGGCCAGGCATATCTAATGGACACAAGCCTGAAATAAGCACCTTATATCTTTTTATTGCCTACAATTCTCCCAAGTGCCCCGGCCCGCACTCGAGGAGTTATGAAAACGGTGATTCTTCAGCTCCCTAGTGATCGCTAGTTTTGAGCGATTCCATGGTTACACTGTTTCGAGTGTAATTCGTAGTTACCCTGAAGAAGCGTCCCATAGGGCTCAAAGACCTGTCACATCACTTTTAAATTTTCTCGTCAATTGCAGCGTTTATGATGCTTCGCATTCTGTCAAACCTTCAACCAGGCGGAGCCGCCAAAATCTCTTACCATGTTATCATTCTCGTGATTGTTGTTTTAACAGGAATTACTTAAAAGCCGAGAAATCACAACAACCAAAACCGCGATTTAGCTCGGATTCAGCGGAGCTGTTTATGACATTTTTCGCGTTCTAAATTAATATCAGCGTCTTTGAAGCTGTAAGAGAGTGATAATATTGTAAGAGATATGTCTGCAGCTCATCCAGGTTGAACGTTGGACGGAATGCAGAGTGCTGACATTGGCGGGACATGTTAAAAGTGGTATGACAGGTACTTGGGTTCTATACGACACTTGTTCAGGGTGACTCCAAGCTACACTCGAATCTGTGTAACCATAGAATTGGTCGAAATTTTCGATCACTAGGCAGCTGAAGAAACTCCGTCTGCATGATTCCTTGAGTACGGGCCGAGGCGCTTGGGGAATTTAGCACATTGTCTATTCGGGAGTAATGTTAACATTTTGAAATACCTAAGCTACATTGAAATCCTCGTGAAAACTAGCACAAATAATCTCAAAACTTAAGCTTGTCAAAGCTGAAGTTTGGGATTATTTGTGCTAGTTGAGTGAGTGAGTCATTCACAGTTTGCTAACACAGACATTTTTTAACTTTTTTATACTTTTTAATATATTGAAAGCCGGCCTCCAGATAAAGCTGTATATACGCCAGATAAAGCTGTATATACACCAGATAAGGCCGTATAAATGGCAGATAAGTCTGTATATACACCAGATAAGTCTGTATATACGCCTGATCAGGCTGTATATGCGCCAGATAAGTCCGTATATACACCAGATAAGGCGGTATATAAGGCGTATATAATCAAATAATGTTTGATATGGCCAGATATGGCCCTGATATAAGATTTCCGTACGGTGCAATCCACCCACGTGAAGGCCCATAGAATGAGGGCTAAAGCCTGATCCAAATGGCGTCGTTCCGCTCAAAATTTTCATTCGCGACGTCGCTCTTACCACAAATAAAGCTTGGGCAAAACCGGCCGTGGTGCTTGGCGTCGCAAACTGAAAATCGCAAGCAAAATCGTACCATGTGAATCGGGAATACAACAACTCGGATATTGCTACCGGTTACAATATTCAACACCACGTGCTATGGTTTATACACCGAGGTAATTTACGTCAGACACTGTTCAAGTTAACCAATCTTTAGGGACCAACAATTAGTTTGTTTTGCATCGGCCGTATTGACTCTACGTAGACAGTCGGCATGGTCTTCAAGCCGTCGACGTTTCAACGTGGAAACGCCCGGAACGTGGCCTTAAGGATCCAGACACTTTGACGTTGCTCCCGCGTTTAGGTTGGAACAGCAGCACAATTCAAACTCACGACAAGTCCCCGCTCTAGCAAAGTGCTTCCCGCAGAGGCGATCGTGGTCCAACAATTTAGGGGCTCGTTTGCGTTCTCAGCCGGATAGGTAGGAAACAAGGGAAAACTGACCTTGACACCTTTTCCACCTCCGTCGGTGCAGTCCCAGCCCCAGTCTACACAAGAGTGAATGCCCAGTGCCACCCTTGTGGCCGTTTTTTTATTTATATACTTAGTTTACAGGTTGGAAGTGCACCCGAAGTGCCACAGCCGTGGTGTGACGTTAGACAGTTGAGTTAGTTTCTAGGCTCTGAAACGAGTAATTTTGATGTCTCAAAGGTGGTGCTGTGGAAGAGCACCCCCTTCTACAAGCCCAAATATTACGCTGTTAGATATAAGTATTTGGTACTGGGCAGAGATGGCACTGACCGCTAAAGAAACCCAGAACGTGGATTTCTTAAGCTTTTGTTTAACCGCTTCGTGATTCGTTCGTCGGCGTTCCTATCGTCATTGCTGCAATCTCATTGAATGCGAAAATAGGATACTCCGGGTTCACCCACGTTCTTCGCTTCTTGAACAGTCATAGATCAGCATGATTAGAAGAAAAATGCACTATTACTTGGAGTACAGATGTTTATGATTTAATTTTGGACGGATTTCTTCAGAACGTCTCATAGGCAGTAGTCAATGAAGACAACGCCCCTGTTTATCTACATTACTCAGAATTGACGGACTCTGCTTTTAATTTAACAATTTAATTGTTGAACACGCAGAAATAGAAACACAAGAAACATGGCTGTACATTCATTTTAATAGTAAAAATTCTATTACTTAAACTCAGAAACGACGACACGAGAAACAAACACATACGATAAAAACCACTTGCACAATGTGGGATTACAAACCAGCAAGAAGTCCTTTTTTTTTTACATAGTGCAGTTTTCTTTATTCGCGTGCGACGGGTTTCCAGCTTCGCACGTTCCAGACACCGGGTTTACGTTTATCGAGCATATTTGCTGATTTTTCTTCCTGTGGCAAAGACTAACAGATTTTCTCCGTTTTCGTCGCTCAACGACCATTCTTAGCGACCAAATAGCAAGAAGCAGGACGTTGGCCACCGCGATGACGTGTAAAAGTCCGTTGTAGTCTTGAAGCTTGTCTCTGAAGTGACCTGAACAAAAATAGAGCGCGGAATTATGTCAGGGTTTTGGAACCCGAGAATTGAATGCCTTCGTTTCAAAACATGCATATCAAACTGCTGACCTGACGCGAATTTTCCCTGGCTTAAGGAAACGTATTCAATTTTCCCAGCGACTAAGTTGCCACCTCGCGGCATTCCGGCGAGTTGCTTCAAAATCCATCCCTCGCAGCAGGCTCTTAAGAAAAACAGCTTCCCGCATGCCTCTGTTATGGATGTCGACTGCAGCGAAAATCCAAACAGCGAATCGCCTCTCGCAGCTTCAGAAACGCCGAGGGTGTAGTGTCCCAGGCATTCTTCCGTAGCCAATGAGAATGAAGCGCATGACAATAACGTTAAAGGAACGAATCGCGAAGCAAGAAGTGTGCGTATTGTAAGCCGAACCTACGTTGTTCAAGTTGTCGGTAACTCTAGAAGATGCTTTCTTCGTATACTTTATTTCAAACTAAGTCAGAGCGCATCCAGCATATACGAGCCGGTTGGACCAATCAAGTTGCAATTGGAACGTTATGTAGCAATGTCCGCTAATCTTTGCGACATAACGTTCTAGGACCTGCTAATCTTTGCCATAGCCTCCTATGTACTGACAAAGACAGGCAGATCGCCACGAGAAGCGGCCGCCGAAAAAGAAAAGTTCGAACGGCGGACAACGGATGAGAGGAGAGCCACGTGACTGGCACCCCGCTGGGGCGAGACGCCGAAACACACTTCTCCCGAGAGAAAGAGTGTGTTTCGGGCCCTCACCACTGCAAAAGCTGTGCGCTGACGTCCAGGTTCCTCGAAAAATGGCTCTTTGATGCTCTGTGCTTACAGATCCTCGCGCTCCAAATCTGTGACCAGGCACTCTGCTCGCGACTCCGGCGAACTATAGAGGGCGCGCTGCCCTCTATAGGGAAAGACGAAAGGAGGTCGTTTTCGTCGTTCAGCACGCGGACCACCACAAATTCCCTGCAGTGCGGCGTAAAGTCAGTGTTACATTTGAAAGTAAAGCGATTTTTCGGCAGTAGAAACCTTCTAGTAAGTGCGTAGGAATGACACGGCGGAATCATAAAAATAATTACTGGAAACGCTAATGTTTGTTTCCATGCTTCCTACGAGAACCAAGCAGCGATAGCAGACGACAGAGTCGAAACGGCCTCCTCTCCTGAGCTCCTCGGAGATGCCGCTACGTGGCGTCGATTTCGCTGGAGTCGCGAATAGCTCCGTCGTCGAACTGCCTGGCTTTGAGAGTATAGAAGAGGCTATGTCTCTGCAAACTGGGAGCCAATGAAATTCGCTCTTCTAGTTTGCGTGAACCTGTATAAAATATAAGAAGCAATTCATGTTGGATTAGCGTTTTGCGATTTTAGAACGCAAAAATGCACGACAAGAAAAACAGGGTAATTATCGGCCTTGTTAATTGCTTGTTCGCCTCTCTCTTCTTCTGATGTCAAAGTGGCATAAAGGAAGGTATCGCGCCTTTTCCAGGATTTACAGAGCCTAGTTGGCCCGAGCATACATCGGAACTGCCCCAAAATTATCCGCGCCACGCGGTGCCATCTGGAGTCACCGAAAGGCCTTTTGAGAGTCTCAGAAAAGGTCCTGAGTTGTTGTTGACTGCACACGATAGCACGTATTTTCGGCTGTGTAGTTCATCTTAATGGCGAGGAAAAAGTATGACCTCATACAACGTTCGAAAAATTAAATCTTTAAAAACTCACCAGTCAAAATTGGCAGCCCAAGGATCACGACGCCAACGCAGAAGGACATCCCACCGACCATGATGGGAAGGGCACTCATACCGAAGTCTTTTACACATACGGGAGTCTCAAGAAAAATTGTGGAACCGTGGCCGACGCCCACGAGCACGGAAGACAGCAGCAGCATGGGCAGACTAGTGGACCACACGAGTAGCTCGAAGGCCAGCGCCTGCACCAAGTGCCCGAGGGCCATGACGGCTTCCAGGGAGAGGTGCCCGGAGTCAATCACCAAGCCGCTGACAGTCCTGAACACGGTGTCGCCGGCTGACAATGCGTAGAGAAGGTAGACGGCCTCACTGGGCGTGATGTTCTTGTCCCTTGACAGATCGACAGAAAGCAGCACGAACGTGGTCTGACTAAACACGACTGTGGCAAAAGAAAGGGCGTCGCACCAAAACAACACACTTAGAAACTTTTTCATCGTTTCCTTTAACTCGTCTGCTTGGACGGTGCCTTCTGTGGGCGTTTGTGAATTATTAACTTTTGTGCTCCAGTCGAGAACGTCTTTCGTAGCGTCGATTCGGGAGGCAGCTGATATTGTGCCGGGAAAGCTTGCCTCAGAGCATACAGTTTCGTCCTTTCTCTTGCTTTGAAGTTTTTCAGACAGAATAGAGCGATTTGATTTCTTCTCTTTCTTTTTCACACCCTGGTTGAAATTTCGATTCATCCAAGCCGGGCTCTTGACAATAATTGCACCAGGCAAGGTGTTGAACATGAGTGCGCCCAGTAGAAGGAAGGCCCCCCTTATGCCATAAGTGATGCGGAAGAATTCGATCGCAGGTGGGATGGCAAATGTGCTCAGACTGCTGACGCTAAATAGCACGCTGAAGGCCGTGTTTCGCCATTTTTCGAAGTGTTGCGCCATAACCACGTTCACTCCGACGAGCATGCCGGAAAGGGTAAACCCTGAAATTAAAAACAGAAGCGGAATAAACATTTTGAAGAAATTATAAAACGCATGCGAGTTTGTGAAAAACCACCTAGATGGTCGTTACAAGTGCGAGCTTAAAATAATAAAATAGAAACTGCGAAGTCGCGTGCTTATAATGGTGTAATTGTATTTGAATGTTGGACACCCTGGCACCGGGATCAGTTTGTATTTGTGGCAGACTTTGTATGAACATGTTAAAACTTAATATTTTCACTTGCATCGATGATCAAATAACGAAGATAGGCCTAATTGCAAGAATTCATTAGTAAAAAGAAAAGATACCATACTTCAAATACATTTATACACATTTAGTACCCGTAATAGTTCGTATCTGTGCCCGCATTCGAAATGCATTTTAATACAAAATCCGTATTTGGAATGCACTAAAATATGGCAAGATTTGCCTTAAGTGCATTACGGTGTGTATTTAAAGTGTGATTCAATTTTTATTTACAGAAATGTTTGAAATGTTTTTCGTATGCACTAACAACATTACAAAATATCAGTCTTTTTATTTTTATATTTTCAATGTCTTTCAAGCACATTTTAAGCAAGTATATTTTATATTTACAAAATTTATTTGAAAGGCAGCTCGGATATCCCAACTTAGTATTAATGCATTTAAGTGGATATGAGGTGTACGTGGAGTATACTTTTACTATTCGTATTTTCAGCGTATTTTTAATATATATAGATATTAGTATGGGAACAACTGAAAAGTGCGTTTTTAGTAAATAGCACGATGAAGGCCGTGGTTTAGGACATATTTCAAACGTATCAGCTTTCGCTAAGGCATGTTACGCGATATAGGCCAGACATGCTTTCACAGCGCATAGACTCTCTGTATATTTTTAAAGAAAGCTTTGTGGAACTTGTACATACCGTACAAGTTCTACAAAGTAAGTACATACCGTACATACCGTACAAGTTCCACAAGGTATTTGTCCTTTCAGCTAGATACGTGGGCGCTCCGTCACAAGGCGAAGGCTATATGGGATCACGTAGCAAGCGAGGTCGCTTGTTCACAGCTTTGAAAATTATATTCGAATCAATTCACCAAAGAATGGCATCTTTGTTCTAGAAGATCACCTGATGGACATTGGCTGGACTTAGCGTATCGTTCTTCTCGCGAAAGTTCCTAACCCTTGGAAGAGTTGAGGGTTAATAACCTTCGTCTCTTTCCAAACCAGCTCGGGAACTATGTCACGAATGCATTCATAAATCAGGTGTGTTGAAGTTGAACATATTTTGACGTAAATACCTTATACAGTCCAAGTAAAATTCACAGGGTCTCTTATATTATCCCTAAAATGACGTGAAGGCGAAAGCCCAAGCGTCGATGCATTACAGAGAGATACCCCTCTTAATGTGCTGAGTCATCCTTTATAATGTGCTGAATCATCCTTCTCAATGCACTCAGTCATCATCTTAATTCGCTTAGGCATCAACTTAATTCGCTTAATCATCAACTTAATTCGCTTAGTCGCGAACTTCGTTCGCTTTAATTCCTCGTAATTCACTTTAATGTCCCTTTATTAGCTTTGTCGTCCTTCTCAATTAGCTTTGATTACTCTTACTTCTCTTTAATTTCTCTTACTTCTCTTTAATTTCTCTTAATTCACTGCAATTCCTTTTTGATTCACTTTGATTCCTCTTAATTCGCTTTGTCATCCTTCTTAATTTCATTGCCTTGCCTTCAATTCACCTGTTCACGTAAACGTTTTGGTACCTTTGCTGTTGCCGACGTGTTTTCGCTCAAGGACTTTGAAGGTCGACTGAACGATAAGACATAGGGCTTTCGCCTTAATAAAGAAAATAATCTAAGTTTCAGGCAACGCTTAATGTTAAACTGACACCAACATTAGCGACTGCAAAGATGTAGTTGTCGCCAACCACATGACTCTACCGCTTCGACAAAAAAAAAGGTTTTGTACGCATACAAACAGGAACAGCTTACTTTTGGCTGGACCGGACATATTAGTACTTTACTTCCCTCAACGAAACATACCCTCAAGCTTTCTAACGCAGCTTGGGCGAAGAATAGTTCAGGCGAAACAGCTTTTTGTCGGGTTCATGTTTAGCGCGAAAAAGCAATACTTTTCAGGAATGTTTGCCTCGATATATTATTACCGGTTTAGATCATTGTGTTTGGTTGCAAACGAGTGCGTTCTGCAGTCTTAGGCTCGCTTACGACGAGAGAATAACCTGGAGCCATCTATCGGGTAGGACTTGGAACACTTGCTTTTTCCTCCTATTTTCTTTTTGTTTTATTATTCTTTCACTATGGGTTTTAAAACCTTTTAACAATGTAATGAACTACCATTTTTCATACATAGCATGTACACTTGATCTTGCACGTACTTCAAAACCTTCACTCTAGTTAAATGCAGTTCCTAGGCCGTCCCATAGATGGCTCCAACATGTCAGTGTGTTCCCCCGTCATAGGGCTGCACAAGGCTGCACAACACAATCGGGTGTAACCGAACGCAAGTGTGTGAACCGGAGTTTACTCTCAAGCAGTTCCTATGATTAAATAATTGAGATGTACAAATATATCAAGCCTAGCATAAGACGAGTTTCTCTAGCGTGAAACAAGCCCTAATACTGCATCATTGGCTTCCGTTTCAGATCATCTATTCGAGGACCAAATTGCGATTCATTTTTAATATCGACGCCTTTTTTGCTTTCATATACAAAACCATGGTCTTAAAATATTGAAAATATTTAGCCGATCTACAAGTATTACAAATAGTCGTCATGCTACTCTCACGTGTGCTTGCTCGGCCCAAAAATTACCGTGCAACACGCCGAAAAAAATGTTGATGAAGAGTACGCCCTCGGCGAAGAAGCACAAGGCAGTTGCTGGCCCAGTCAGCGAAGTGCAGACTAGAAGTACCGTCCTACAGGAGAAGCGCCGGCATAGAAGACCCATCACTGGCCCTGAAAATTGGAAATTTGAATTTCGTCAAGTAGTTGAACTTTTAAAATCGCCGCATTTTCCTGGCGCACGAGTCGCTTCTTTTTTTATATAGATTTCTTTCGGGGCGTTTTATAAGACGAAGCAACGTATATGCATCCTTTGTGCCAAAATTTATCTGTGGAATATATAATTTTTTTTTAAATGTTAACCATATTGTATTGTAAATAAAAAATAAAGTATTAAGCTTTTGCCGACGCTTTTGTTTGTATTGCGATATCTGTTCACATGCATATCGTTAGGGCAGAACACCGCTGGATACGAGGCGTTAGGACTGCGGAAGGGTATTTCGAATATTTCTAAAGGAGATCGTCAACGTCACAAGAAGATTTGCATCAGTTTAGGAGCTCGCGCTTTGCGGCGGAGCCAGAAAAAAAATCTGGGTCAAACCCTAGAGACCCTTTTCACACGGGTGTCGCCATATTGAATTGTCGTCACTTCCAGTATGGGCGAAAACATTGTTTTGCCGTCGCCACGCCCATAAAATACGTTTTAAATATAAGCATAACCGTTACATATTCTCTTTTACCTCCCTCTATTTTTTTCTTTACTATTTGCTGGTTGAAACGATTTATTATTTTTTCGTCATCCATACCAGAAACGTCTATTAGGGAGCTGTGGACGAGAGTACAAGGAAAAGCTCTATAGTCGACGCTAGCGCTTCGAGCATAGCTGGCTGAGCATTACGAGCGACGCTGGCACCACCTGACTCCGTTAGCCGTGTGTTCAAACCTTTGAATATCCCGGTTCTGTATGTTGCCACTGACATTAGTGAGTTTAAGTATTGCGCATGCGAGCGAAGACAAGCGCTGTGCGTTCGCGTCCGTTGCGTATTCCACACTGCGCCTACGCGGAGCCCAAAGTGCGCGCTTGGATTGGCGTATGGCGACTTCGCGCATACGCAGCGTGGAAAACACAACGCTAACGCAAACGCACAGCGCTTGCGTTTGCTCGTATACGCAACACTAAAACTCATTACTGTCACGCAGAGGCGACCGTGGCGGCTAAAGGCCCGTTCACACTCTTGCAACCGAGTAAGAACGAGAGAGACCAGACCGGTTTTAAGCCTCTTGCGACGTCTCAGGACCGGATGCGCTGCAGTGGAGCTGGTCCCAAGACATAGTAAGAGGCTTATAAACCGGTCTGGTCTCTCTCGGTCTTACTCGGTCGCAAGAGTGTGAACAGGCCTTTTTACGCGCGATATTTTGCAAGTGCGGCAAGCTGCGCGATAAGGCGCTCAGACCACTCCGTGCTGATATACTGATAGCACCGCCGCTACGGAGCGCTGGGCGGTTGCATGTCCACCGATCGAAAATCTACAGCTTCAGTGACACTGCTTTAGCTGAAAGCAGTCGTAATCCCAAATTCAAAAATATTGAGCGGAGTTGCCCTTTAAGAAAACAGCGCGAAAAAAAAGCGGAGGACTAGAAAAAGGAGCGTGCAAACACACGCTACTGAAAATTTTACTTCTGCACAAAACATAAAGTAACCAAGAGAGGGGAAACATTGAAATAATACAATCAACCCCCCCCCCCCCCCCCCAAAAAAAAAAAAAAAAAAAAGCACTCCCAGCATGCCGATACGTGCCAGAAAAATCTTTCCGCACCTCTTGATAAAATCTACGTCGTCACTCGCTGAGGCCACCGACGGGGCAGTAACACACACGCTCGTTTTATAATTGGCATTAAAAATAACTCATCAATTTCTCTCGCTGTCTCATTAAAAATTCAAATCTCTTCACACAATGGCGAATACGCACATCTGTCACAGTGAGCCGCCCTTTCTACTTAAGACAATTTCAACCACAAATTCTTCCCAGAAAAGGCTTGGCTGCGGCAAATGAAGGTGGAATTTTTAAGAACACAAAAAGAGAAGGACACGGTGTTGGTCGATGGATTCAAATACTGCCTTCAGAGAAAAACCAAAAGTGCATAGCTGCATGGCAATGGGCAAAATACTGGGCTCTTAACTCTTCTGAGGGGGACGATTCATTTAAAGAAACACAAGGTTTCTCCAAACGCAAGCATGAATGTTCAGGAGTTCTTGGAGCCGAGCCAGTGTTTTTGTGTTTTTTTTTTTTTTTTTTGGTATTTAAGTAGCGTAGGACTTCGCTCCTACAAAGCACTGTATGCAAATAAACATCTACAGCTGTGCTTTATTGACAAGCATTAGGCAGACACAGAATCACGGGGGAAGCGGGGGGGGGGGGGGGGGGGGGACAGTGATTTTGAACAAATAAAAAAAAAAGACTAGAGATGATCAGCGGATCGACAACACAGGGATAGCGGCGAAATTGGGAATATTGATGCTCGGGGGAAACGAGACAAGGATTTTGTCTACAGGGGTTTTCACACTCGGGTAGGAAAGGCGGGTGGTATTCGAGACGGAAGACCTGCCACGGAGAAATCGTGCTACAACCTCTAATAACACCGATTAAACAATTCAACGTTTTGCTTGTTTTATGTACTTATATGCCTATATCAAACACCTTTCAACGTTTTGGTTAAATAAAAGTCTGATGTCTCTATAAATTTCAACCCCATAAACCATTTCTAAAACTCCCAAGCTCGATGGAGCATACTAGGCGTGTACTTAAACAAACGGCAGGTTTTCGACTTGCTTCTAAAAAAAAAAAATAGCGGTAAGTTATAAAAAAAGATACGCATTGACAAATGCGCATGGAAGAGCTCTACGAAGTAGATTTTAGCATTGAAAAAACTACTACAGACACCAGCACTTCCAGTCGAAAAAATAACCAGCGTTGTAGCTTGACCGTTTCAGAATGACTGTCGCCGTGTCTATTTCTACGTACATTGGAGAGATTTCTTCTTTCTAAACGATTGCAATTGTTCCAGCAGCAAGATGCATTTTTTTCCTCGAATTTTATTTGACATCGGTTTTTCGTTTCTTTTCTTGCGATGAAATTGACCTATTTCATGTCTGTCGCTGAACCCTACCATTACCTACAGGAGGCTGCTCTCCTAAAGCACTTCCATTGATAATAAAGGCAAGGGTACCGCGGCACGAACAGCTTTGCACTTGTTTATGAAGATCACTTGAGTGTCGACCACCGGGTCGGTCTACGAAGTATATGACGAGGCGTTGCGGCGGTATCAGCGGCGATGTCATCGAAAGTGAGCTCAGCTTTGAGCACACGCGCTCACTCTCTCTAATATCACCGCAGTTCCCGGCGATACAGTTCTGACCGGGCAGCCGGTCGACTCTCGTAGAATTAGTATGCAACTGAAAAGATGTACGTATGTCTTCAAAGCACCTTTAAGTTGTGGTAGTGTCACTACGTTCCGAAGGTTTGAAGGCTAAGAGTGCGCTGCCGTTGGTTTGCCGGAGACACGTACAGGCTACTGAAAAACGTTACTGAACACAGTTACTCGTTACTCGCCCAAAACGTAACTATAAGTGCGTTATTCGTTACTGGCATGCAAAGGGAATGTGTTACTTGAGTTTAAAAGCAACAATTTAATTTCTGATTACTCTGAATGTATTGCTTCTTTTTAAGCATGGATGCAAGAAGGAACGTTAATTCTATTCCCTTTGTAACAGGCCGTGGCTTGCGCCACCTTGGCTAAGTCTAAAAAGACAAACATAAGATTCTTCCCGCACTTCTAAGCCAATGATCTCCCCCTAACTCTCACCAGGCACTGTTGAATATCACCAGGATGACCTTTGGGGAATCGGGCAAAGAAACTAAACCAATATCCCCCCCCCCCGCCTCTTCCTCCAGGCGGGGGAGTCGCCAATTTTCCTCTGGTCAAACCTTGTCGGCGTTACCAAAGCACCGGACCCTCTGGCAGACGAGGCTGAGACTTTGGGCGGGAACCACGCGGGAGGGAGTCCAATTTTCCTCTGTCCCGCCAGTCCCCAGCTGTGATAGCTAGCTGTTTTTGAGTCCTGTACATTTTCAGAGCCGAGTTTTCCTGCATTCTTACCTCCCACGTTTTTCTTTCTGCCTCTTCCACTCCCTTTTCGACTGAAGTACTCTGCCCAGCCCTATCACTAGCATGTTTGTATTTAAGTCTAAGCTTTCGGGTTCGATTTGTCAATTTTGTGCTCAAACTTTTCATGTATACCTTTCGCACCCACCGCGTATCATCCTTTTCGGTGAACCTTTGTTCAAATTTTAACTTACTAACTGCCTCTCTGCTCTCAAAATACGACAAGCCCATGTCCCCCTGTACTCCCTCATTTGGTGTCTTTCCATGTGGTCGCAATGCCAATCTGCCTACGCTTCTTTGTCGAATTTTTAATCCTGATTGAACCTCTGATTTCATGCATAGTGCCCCATTGCCAAAGTACAGTCCTGATACCATCATTCCCTTCCATATATCTCTGACCACTTGATATCTATTATAGTTCCATTGTGGCTTCAGCTTCATAATAGATTAATTTATCTTCCCGTTTCTAATTATATTCTTCTCATGTTCCTCTAGGTATTTACTTCCCTCATTGAGCCAGGCTCCCAGATATTTTTAATTTTCCTACATGGTCGATTATAATTTTTTGTATCCTCAGGGGTTCCCTCTGTTCGTCGTTTAAACACAATTACTCCAGTTTTTTATAGCTGCCTTCCAATGTTGTGAGTCACTACTAATACTCGTTCTTAAAGCGTTCATAAAACAGAGTATAGCTTTCCACATTTACGTTTTGTTTACTTCGCGCTTCTAAACTTTCACTGTAATGGCATGTGCTGGGTGACAGGGGGGGGGGAGGGGGGGGGCAGCTTTTGCACGAATACAATGGTAGCGCATCCCATCACGATTTGATGACAATGATCCGGTGAATGAGAAAGAGGGATTAACCTCATGGGATGAGTCCCCTCTCGAATCGATGTGTTTTTCGGTGGCGTTCATGCAACCACTCTCAGCGGTTGCATTCGGCGACGCCGAACATTCGACCGTACTGCCGAAATTTCGACGTCGCTTATACAAGAGGCCAGCACGGGGCACGTATTAGACAAGAGCCCTGCATCAGTGTTCGGCTAGTATTCGTGTTCTTGCTGATTGGAAACGAGCCCCAGCCGAACGCTGACGTCTCTATCCTGTTTAATCCGTGTCCCGCGCAGTGCTCTTGTAAGTGACGTGAAAACTTCAGCCCTAAACAATTTCAAGTTACGATGTGTTAATTTATGCAAACTCACGCAAATGATTCAGAAAAAGCATGCAGAAGTATTTTCAAGCGGGAGTTTCACCTCCCAGATGTAGAAAGCAGCTGTGCAGCGTCACGGGCCACGAAGCTTGCTTCCTGGTGACACCGAAGGTGCCCATGATACCGAAGAAGAGCACTCCGGTGACGCGGACGCTGAACGTTGCGAAGAACAGCATCCAGGTGCATGACGCGGCCGTGATCCAGCTCCAGCGAGAGTCCAACCCGTGGAGGGGATCGACCTTATGTGACTCCAGGTCCTTCATAGCATGGCCAAGATCAGGCCTTCACCTTCGTCTATCTGCAGGGTGGGAGTGAAGCGCAGAAAACAAAGTGTCAACTTATGGCTGACAGGAAGGTGAGCAAAAACATCACACACATATATACGATACCATTTATTCCAGAAAACGTTGCACTGTCGTAGGGTCATGGCTAGAGTTAACGAATCTCTGCCACCCCTTCGACTACTGGTGCATAACAATATATGTGACTAAATTTAAGTACAGTGCGAAACAAAAGAAGCAACGTCAAAACCGGGAAAAGTTCACGCTACAGCCAAGTTAATTTGGGTGACGGTTTTCAGAGCAGATTGTTACAAATCGAGAAAAAAGTAGCTCAAACACGAACATTTGCACCTGTTCAATTTTTTTTTTTTGTAGGTTTGTCTCAGCAATTATTAATTACCGCCGTCGTTGATTTTCCGCTCACAAAAAAGCACTATCATTTCTCCAAACAAGAAAAAAATTGTGGTTTTAACATTTAATTTCATTTCCCTACTTCCTGATGCAAAACAACATTAAATGAATTGGTGATCGCTTCTGGAGGCTTTCTTATTCTGTAGAATAATGCGTTTGCGTAAAAAAAGCGCCTAACATTAAAGAAACAAATATTAATAATAAAATGAAGCCATGGTCCGCGTTACATTTTTGCCACTTTAGCGTAGGCAGTCATGTGCCACCTAGCTTACCTATACATTCTTATGCGGTTATGTGATTGTTCGCATGTGCTCAAGGACTCACAAAATACATAATATTCACCTTTAATCATTTGTTCGTAGCACTTACATTTTATTAATATCGTATATTTATCATAGCAGGATTCCTTCAAGTTTTTTTGTTTTTTTAATTTTGTCGAATTATTAAGCTTTGTATTGGTAGTGTCCTCTGACCTACATCCAAAAAACCGTCCTGGAGGTTCCGAATAAATACGCCTGCCTACGGATACCCAGGTGGCGTGCTCGAATCCTGGCGGAGGTGTCAGGAATCTGGCGCAGGACTACAGCGGAACAGGAGCCGTGCAACCAAAATCGCTTTTGCGCATAAGAAATGTCGATATGATCTACATTGATTCTTCGCGCTCCATTGGTGCGTGCCAGATGCGCTTCGTTAGTTTGTTGCGTCACCTTCGCAAATTTAACTTTTGGCCCAGCACCTCAATTGTGTCTTACAGGAAACTACACCTACAGAACCAAAATTGGTGAGGCGATGCAAGGGCAGGTTCTGCAAGAATTCCGCGCCGTGGAGCTGACTCTCTCGACAGTCACGACTGCGGAGTCCAAAACAAACATTAATAAATGCATTTGTTTATTGTTTACTGTAAGTAATTCAAACACATCAACCTCCTCGAAATTTAAAAATTGAAAACTGCTTAATTGCAACGAAACATATCATTACGTACTTGTTCAGGCATATAGCACAGTTCTGTGCAGCTGAATTTGGCCTTTGTCATGGAATTTAGGTTCTTCAAAAGTTAAAGAACCCAATGTATAGCCCAGCTTGACTTTTGGTGGCCTGCGTCTGGGTCTCTTAATTGGCCCTAACTCACCAAATAAGTGCCAAGGTTAGGCCTCACTGATTGGCATATTGCTTAGCTATCATCTGGCACTTGTGTGCCTAAATTCAGAAACAAGTGCCAGAGAGAGATAGGCTTCACTTCCGGTTGTTCTGCTTTATGTTGCAACTTGGGGCCAAAATTGCCAAGCAAGTGTAAGAATCAGGCTTCAGTGCTGGTTGCTTGGTTGATACGCGGCATTTTAACTGGAGCCAGACACTGTCTCAAATGTGTGGCGAACCAAAGAAAGCCACAGACAAGACAAAAGGAAAGCAATTTCGCAAGTGGATATAAAAAGGAAGAACGAAAAAGAATGTCTTTCTGCCTTTCTGCACAGTGCCTTTCTCCAGAGTGTCTTTCAATGTTTTTATTTCTTTACTTCGCTGCCTCACTCCTCCTCTTTCCCTTTCTTTAAAATACTATATTTTAGTTGTGAGTCAGCGCTTTTTTGTCCCCTCTTTCTTCTTACCCGCCCTTTTGGAAACTGTTTTTTACTATGCGCAACGATCACCAGCTCGCCCCACGTGTCACCTTGTTTCGTAGCAAAAATGAAATGGGGCAATTACAAAATTAAATGAAACGTAAGATTACCTCGGAAGTCTCTCGCTGGTTCATTTAAAAAATCGCGTTGTTCTAAGTATACACACAGAGCCATAGTCGTGGAATTCATAGCATGCAGCGCCTCACCTGCATTACTCGTGAGTTTATAGCGTGTATTGAGCACTGATTATCTCTTGGATCAGGAGCGCCGTACGCTCACGCAGACTTGTACACGTTACTAAAAAAATGTAAGGAATTACATTTGCAATTACTTGTGGATAAATGTAACTAATTACAGTTACAATTACACTTCCATAAAAGTAAGTGGTCGTTACTTCGAAAAGTAATCCGTTACTTTTGCTGCGTTACTTTCAACCTTAGTGTGCTGGGGTAAGAAACAAGACAAGATTTATGGAAGCGTTTATTGTATTCGCCACTCATATTTTTGTGACCTCGAACATCTCAAGGCTCTCCATATTCTCATCGGAACCCTAGCCTCATTTCTATGTGAAGATGACGCCCTCCGAGCTGAAAACATTCCAACTCACCGTTTTCCAAATTGGTGCTTCCAGTGTAACGCGCGACTGAGGGGCTAAAAAAAAAACACCGCGTTTGCAATGCCTCCCCTCCCCGCTCGACACCCCAAAAGTCAGCTAGATCCTGCTGGCCCATTGAGACGCTACGACCTAGCTATGGCTCTCCTAAACTTCGCTTGTGTACCCAGCGTAAATTATCTCGGTCCCTGAAGTTGATACAAAGTCTCTCTCGGCCTGAAGGAAGCAAAGAAAGAGTGACTCGGACAAAAACAAGAGACGCGCACAAATCCGCTACAGCAGCACGCGTGCACTTTGAAAATCTTTTGTCTTTTCTTTTTTTTTTTTTTTTTTTGAAGGAAACGTTGCAAACTTGGGAGTTTTCTTAAAATTGTTTGAAGGGAGAGTTCAGTTCTCTGGTTCTTCGATCGCCCGCAAGAGGGCGAGCGGTGGGCTGGAGTTGCGAATATTGACATGCTGACGCAAACTGAAAGCAACCAACTTCGCAATTCGTGAAGATTTCTCGTCTGCGAAGAAACTAGCACACAACAAATTTCAGTTTGTGAAACTTGAGTTTGTCACACCATACAATCGGCTGCAAGTTTGGTCATTCTGTCAAGCACGTTGAAATGCGGTAGCTATAGGGAGGTTGGTGCCTAGGGCAGGCTGATCCTTAGTCGTCCAGAGCCTGGGGTGGGTGGTGCTCTTAGTTATGGTGGCACCTAGGGCAGTGTTTTGTATGAAAACCGAATACGCCACACTATTTTCTATTTGTCACGCTGAGTACATTTTTTCTTTACCACCATCCGGACACAAAGCCTTTGCACTGAATTTTGTGGGCCATTACGAGAGGGGAAGATCTATTCTCTATTCCTTCCACTCCTCGTGCGGCGCGCTGTTTCTACACCACCCGTTTCTGCTCCTGCCTCTTTTGCCCTTTCCTCCCCTCTCCGCTACACGCGCATTTTCATATCACCTGCTTCTGCTCCTCCCGTTTCTGTGTGCTGCATCTGTTGCTCAGGGGATTCTTCTTCCGGCGGCGATAGCAGACGGACGTCGAGTCATGCGCTCCGCAGGGGCGGTTACATCGGCCGTTTCTAGCCGTGGTACTCCTGCTGCAGATTACGCGTAGGAAACTGTAAAAGATTATCAGGTCATGCTGCCATCACTGCCCGCTAGATACATCGCGACGAACGCGGTGTTTTTACACTGCGATGTGAAGAGACGCCCCTATCGCATACAGGACTTCAGAAGCGAGCTGGAAAAGCTGGACATCATGAAAGACTTGTCATCATCAGGAGCGTACGAGATAAACCATTTGTGGATGTTTAGACTGCATTCCTTAGCTGCGAAGCAAAAGCTGGTGAACGCGAAAGAACTGCTGGTGAAAGGAGGGCGGTGACTCGTGCTAGACCCGGTGAGCAATGAAGTCAAGCTAAAACTTCACTTGGTGCCATAAGATGTACCAAACTTCAGAGTGAAAAAGGTGTTGGAAAAGTTCGGGAAGGTGTCCAGTACAACCAGGTAGCGCTTCAGAGAACAAGGTTTTCAAAATGTCGAGTCAAACACGCGTCTTGTGCAAGTGACCCTTAGTGAGGGTATGACGGTAGACAAAATTCCCCACGAAGTGCGACTGGAGGGATGCAGAGTCCGGGTCCTGTTGCCAGGGAGAGCACCTCTTTGCCTGCGCTACAGACGAACCGGGCACATCCGGCGAGAGTGTCGCGTTCCCCGATGCGCCGACTGCAACCGCTTCGGACATGCGACGGGGGAATGCGTGACCACGTATACTTCCATCGCTCGGGACCGCAAGGAGCAGGATGAGTCGGAGATGTTCGTGGACGCAACCGAGGCAAAGGATGCTGTACAGACCGCTGCACCGGAGACGCCAGACGACGCGCCAAAAAGGACGGACACTGGAACGGGAACAACGACGGAGCAGAGGCGTCTCACGACGGAACCTCCGAGCTCACAAAGCAACGGAATGAGAACGACGACATCCGTGAATACCTTCACGCAGAAAGAACAGCGCCGAAGGAAACCTCCATCCGTACAGTGGCAGCAGTTCTATCCAAGCACCGGGCTACATGAGCCTATGAACGAGACTAACCCGACAGGGAAAAGTCAGCTAGACCGACCTCCCGTCCCCGACGCGCCTGGCGAAGATGGGCAAAGTTCAACGTCGTGGGCAACTCAAGGACCTAAGAAAGCTCGCGTTGTGTTCAACCCTCGAAAGCCTACAGACGATCGCAGTAAGAAAATCTTACAGTGAGTGTCGTGAAGCGAATTGTTCATGAGAAAGTGGAACGTTTGTCGAGCCTTGTAGGGGGAAACGCTTGCCTATTAGTTTAAAACAAACGTGTAAGAGTATGTTTGTCCCTCTTGAGCCTCTCCGCTTTGCGACCTTAAATGTGCGTAGACTTAACTCGAAAAAGAGGCAGTACCAACTGCAGCGTCTAGTACCGGAGCAAGAGCTAGATATTCTGGCATTGCAGGAAACAAAAATGGAAAATGGCGATTCCATGCACGCACTGAAACCTTTCCTTCCCTGCTACGAGGTTTGCGTAAGTCACTCTGTTGGAGCGTCCGCTGGGTGTTTCTTATTTCTTAAAAAGTCCAAACAGCTCACTGTTTCGAGCGTTATCACAGATGACTAAGGCAGACTCATTATCTGTGATTTCAAGTGTCTAAACCAAGGAGTACGTGTAATATGTCGCGAAAGAGTCCTACATTTTTAGTTTTTGGAAGAGTATCTCCAGTACGAAAAGGCTAATGTGTTTTGGGGGATTTTAATTTTGTATTTTGCAACTAGGACAGGGTATGTGCCAAGAAAAATTTCGATCAAAATGCTACAGTTTTGAAGGAATTGATAAATGAATATAAATTAGAAGACGTAGCCCATCTCAAGAATTCGGGGAAAGAACTTTGTTTTACCTATTTCCAGCAGTCGCTCCACGTGCGTTTGGATAGGATTTATGTTTTGGCAGAGATAAGAATTGTCCAGTGGCGTACCAACTTGTTTTTGAGTGGGAGGCAAACCAGACTCCCCCTCCCCCCAGGGCCGGGGGGCGGTGCCCTTGGTATCTCTTGGGCGCCGCTGGCTTGTGTTTGGCCTGCCCAGTGGTGGCTGTTTCAGGGGGAGGGGGGGGGGGGGGCAAAACATGTCTTGCCCCCCACCTTAAAAAGGGGGAAGGGAAGGCGGCAAGCCCCCCCCCCCTTGCCCCCGGTTGGTACGCCCATGATCGGCGCTCTTGGTTTAAAGCTTTGCAATGCCACAGGATGTGCAAAACAGTCCTATCTTTCCCACATTTGTCACAAAGTTTAACATCCTCACCACAGAGCAGGTGCAAATGAGTCAAACTGGCCAATTCTTAAGCGCCAAAGGAGAGCCTCAACCTGACGGACTTTATGGAAGGAACTCTCCCATACTCCCAGTTGGGGCTTGATATTGTGAAGCTTGTTCTCTTTTTCCAAATCCCAGTCCAACTGCCATGATTTCATAATCGATTTCTGTATGATTGGTTTTAGGTCTTGGTGTGGAAGGCCAAGAGGCGTTTTTTGGGCATTCTTCTCCAGAGGCAGCAAGCAAGTCTGCCTTCTCATTGCCGGAAATACCCACGTGGCTTGGGACCCAGCAGAATTTGATCTGGTGTCCTAGATGAGTTGCTCGGGTTAACCGTACCCGAAGACATTGCACGAGAAGGTTCTTGCTGTCTGCTAAGGACGAAACGGCTAGAAGAACGCCCTGGGAGTCGACAAACAGAGTTGCGTTCATGATATTGTTCCCTAATAAGTACTCACCAGCCATTAAAATGCCGTACAATTCAGCAGTAAAAATATTTGCAAGAGTGTGGAGTTGTCGAACTTTCCTGGAGGCAATGGAATAAACCGCACACCCCATAAAAGTTGATGTTTTCGATCCATTAGTGTGAAAATGTGAGTAGTCCTTGTATTTCTGTTCTAAATAGGCAAACCCCTGCTGAAGAACGAGTGGAGAAATGGCTCTCTTTATGTACTTACACAGTGACCAGTCACAAGAAATTGGCAGAAGGTCCAAAGGGTGCAACTCTCTCACTGCTCCTCAGCAAAGCAGTCCCACTAAAGAAGAGATGGAGCGATGTTGCCATGGTCTGAATTCTGAAACTCAGGGGCCCAACAATGCTCGGCTTGCAGTGGCGTACCAACTTGTTCTTGAGTGGGGGGCAGGGGAGGGGGGGAGGGCAAACCAGACCCTCCCCCTCGCCCAGGGGGAGGGTCTGTGCCCTTGGTATCTCTTGAGCGCCGCCGGCCACTGTTCGTTCTGCCTGCGGTGGCGGCTGTTTCAGGGGGGCAAAACACATGCCTTGCCCCCCCCCCACTCTGAGAACTGGGGGGGGGGGGGGGGGGCAAGCGCCCTCCTTGCCCCCCCCCCCCCCCGGTTGGTACGCCCATGGCAATGTGGTCTTAGACCAGGGGTGGCCAGGCTGACTCGGCCTAAAACCCGCAAACACACCCTTCGAAACTTTCAAGGGCCGCGGGGGGGGGGGGGGGGGGTCAAACTTTAGTTTAGAACAATAAACGAACATCGAACTACTTTCAATCTATCCGAGTCGAAAACAGTCCAACTGTACGTAAGATAGCAGTAGCACAAGACTGCCAAACCGCAACCTGTCTTTCGATTTGAAACACGTTCCATTTCTCCTTTTGGGGAAGTGGTCGTTTAACCGGAAGGGAGGCGGGGGAGTGTGTGTGTGTGGGGGGGGGGGGGGGGGAGGGTTAGGGGAGGGGGCTGCGAGCCGCACTTTAACACGCGAAGAGCCGCATGCGGCTCGCGAGCCGCAGCTTGGCCACCCCTGTCTTAGACTATCACGTCAAACCGCTCTTTATTAGCGACCACTCTCTTGTCACGGTTACGTTGGGGTAAGGAAGGAAGAGGGCACTGAATTTCAGATGGTAACTTTGGAAATTAAATGTCAATTTGTTGAATGACGAGACTTTATGCAAAGGAGCAAAAAAAAAAGCCTTTGAAGTGGTGCTCGCAGATAGTACCATGAGTCGCATGGAAATGTGGGAATACTTTAAGCGAGAAGCTAAATCACTGGCTATAGAAAGGTCGTCTGTTTTAAAGTTCCACTGCAAAAATGAAGAAAGAATTAATGATGAGCAAATATTTGACTAACCTGATACAGGACGAACAAAAATATTCCGGTTTGAATTACTCGGCGATTAAAGAAGCGCAAGCAAGGCTTGACGGCTTTCACTAAGGACGCTATCGCGGTGCGATAATCCGAGCAAGAGCACGCAAATTTCTTTTGGGGGAACAGCCTACTGGCCGCGCCTTGGTTGATGAAAGGAAGTACGCTGTAGATAAAGAAATCACCACCATTGAGCATCACGGTGTTATCAGCAATGACAAAAACATAATTGAATTCGCTTTCGTCAATATTACGAGCAACGTTTTGAAGGCCACGATATGCCGACGAGTATGCCAGATATTAGGGCGATCCTACTGGAAGCACACGAGTCATCAAACGAGGAAAAAGAGTGGCTCGAGGAACCTATCACGTTGAGTGAAGTAGAAAGCGCGATTGACAGTTTAGCGTCACACAAGACACCTGGCCCGGATGGCCTTGGAGGACAGTTTTACCTTAAATTTAAGAACGAACTGTTTCCATTTGTCTTTAGGGTAGCACATTAAGCGTATGACTTTCAAACTTTGCCTCCATCGTTCCTTCGGTCACACACAGTGCTGATTCCTAAATCCGATTATATAAGTGTGAGACAGCGTGTAACTGGTTATAGACTGTAGCACTTACTAAAGTTGACTATAAAATGTTTGCGAAAATTCTAGCTAGACGACTCCAGCATGTGATTCGCAGGCTAGTCGGAACACACCAGACCTGTGGAATTCGCAGGTCTATCCAGACAAACATTCACGTGGCGCGGACTATTTCGCAAAGCTCATCAGCTGAAGGAAGTCAAATTACAGTGCTGTAAATTGATTTAGCAAAGGCATTCGACAAGGTGTGTCATGACGTTCTTTGGGGGGTTTTAAACCGGGCTAATGTGAGAAAGAATATACTCGAAGGCGTTTAAAAGGCGTTACACTGTGTACGAACTAGTTTACAAAAATGCATAAATTGTTTGATGTTTAATATGAAAAAGGGCACGGGGGAACCAATGAGTCGCGATAATCTCTTTCGTCCAGTGTCAAAATGAGGACTCGTCCCACCTATTGGTCCGACAAATTGTTTCACGTTTTCTTTTCTTGAGAAACCAACATCATTTTGCAGGTAGTGTTTCAAACAAGAATAACTCCTCATTTGCCTTCCGTTCTGATCTCTTCTACCATACGCCCCGCCCCCCCCCCCCCCCCCCCCGCCCCCCGGCTAGCAAGGTCGGTTTTGTGAAGGAGATGGTGTATGCTTTAGAATTTTTAATGGCGCGTTACTCTCGGGAGTATTCGTTTACTGTCACCAGAAAAAAAGTTTACCAAAGATCTAATTGATAGTCTTTTCCCCGCACTTTTGTACAGAACTTAGTTCATTACAATGGCTGGGGATGATGTCCTGGTTCACGTCAAGATGTGTATCCTCCCAATCGCGAAATCCTTCTTTTTCCGGCTGCATAGTGCCACATTTCCTGCTAAAGTATGGTTGGCTGAGAGGCGCGTGTTTTTACCTTGGGGTACTAACTGTCTATTGTGGAAGCAGCCTGAAACAGTTTAGCATGTATTCATAGACTGCTGGGACGCAATCATGTTCTGAGACGTCCTAAAGCGCATGATAAAGAAAGGCATAGATATAACATCACATTATATTCGGTTCCTTCCTGTTAACAAACAAGAGAGTGTTCCGCTCGATATGATCATGGTGTCAGGTTTGTTTGCTCCGTGGAAATCTCGTATGGATATCCGCCATGCAGTAGAGAAACCAAAATCTGCTCCACAGTATTTCGCTGAACTTGTAACTCGGGTGAAGAGTGTTTTTGAGTGTACGGAGCAACGCCTGACTGGGCAAGCCTGTTGCACGTGCTGTTGTGTATGAAGAAATTTTAACTCTACAGGCGCCCAAAAGATCTGGGTACTCTGTTTTTACACACTGAGTTAAAAAAAAGACCGGTTGCTCAGTCAGAAGAGCACTCGGCTTCCACGCCGGTGACCGGGGTTCGATCCCTGGCACTGGTTGCCTTTTTAGAGTGCAGCTCTTAGGCGCCCGTTTCCGGCTTGAGCGGCGTCGGCGTCGGCGTAAACGTAAGGTCACGTGACCCCCCCCCAGGTCACGTGACCACCCTAGGTCACGTGACCCCCAGGTCACGTGACCCCCCGCCGTTGGAGGTAGAGGAAGAGGGGGAGGAGAGAGGAGGAGGTGAAGGAGAAAGAAGGGGTGGAGAAGGAGGATAAGGGGAGGAGGAGTAGCAGGCAGAATCACGAGGGAGGAGGAGGGAGGAGGGGTATACCCTCCCCTCAGTACCCTTCCCTCCACCTCCTCAAGAGCTGCGCTCCAATTTGGCGTTACAGGGAGTTGTAAACGGATTTCATTTTTTGCAAGATTGTTTAGCAGTGGCGGAATGACCGACCTTCACATTTCGTGCTTCCGTGGCTCCTGAGGTCCAATGGCACTATAAAGCTACCGCTTAAAATCTGTTCTTTTGAACTGCGGCTCAACAAGCTCCACGTAGGCAAGTGATGCTATGTCTACGATACCACCTCAGATTCTGCCGTTTAAACTCGCAGCTAGCTAAGTCATTTCTCAAGAAAAAATGCTGCCCTTGCAATAAAAAATAACTCTAATAGGCTGCTTCAAAGTTTTGTTCTCCTCACTACTGTTCGAAGCGTCATGCCCAAAACGCATCGACCTTCGTGGCCTCATTGATGAATCTGCAGCTGATATTGCCATCCTTCCAGAAACGCGGTTAACTGATAATGTGCATGACAATGAAACATTTCCCCATCACATGAACTAAAATAAGTATCGTTGTGATGGACACTCGCAAAGGAGGGGCGGCGTTTTAGTTGCTATAGACGTTTTTCATTTCGTTTCGTTCGCAGTCCCGTTGGTTCCATATCTAATATGTGAAACTAAAAAAAGACTAATACATTTTAACCTGGAACAGGCCAGAAAACAGTGTTGAAAGAAAACAAACATTTCTTACTATCATGCATTTTTCGTGATCAGCTTCCAGCGGCGTGGAGAGACCAAAACGATGCTTTAACGCACACCAGAAGTGACGACATTCAAGATGGCTATGCCCTGTCAAAGATATGTATAAGAAACCTATTATCGTTGTACATTAGTCGTAAAAGTTGCATTAAATCAATAAGGGTTTGCATGAGATTTCTTATTTCCGGAGTAATCATTTACATTTTCCACACTGTAACCGGCAAAATCCTACTCAAGAAAAAAAAAATTGAAAGTTGTACAGATTACCAAATGGTCGACCCGTTTTAAATTCGAGCGATTTGCCAAATGGTCGAACCCTTCAGGCCATATGAGGTTATAGAATGCAGGTGCCCATTTGATATTATACCCGTTTAAACGGGCTCCCGTTCGATACGGGTACCCGTTCGACACCGACACCTGTTCATTTGCGGAACTCGTTTGATACGGTACCATTGCGAGGAAAATCCTTCGTTAGCCCCACGTGGGTTCCGTCTGAAACGGGTCGACCCAGAAAAATCAAATACCGAGCTTTTGACACGTCCTTCCTTAGACAAATTTATTAGAGTATGTGACGTTCTACCTCTGATGAATAGGAAGGTCACAACATATTCAGTAGGATTCGCCGTCGAAGAGAGCAAGCACCTAGCATTCCGTCGCTCATCAAATTTATGTTCAAATATAAGCAACTTGTGGACACCGTGAAGTGCACACGGAAACCCGCTAAAATGAAAATGCAATAAACAAAAGCAACCGGAAAACTTCAAGTTAGCGTTCATGGAGCAAAATTGGACATTTGACGTGTGGCCGAGGCGCGCTGTTCTTGATGAGATTGGAAGAATCTCAATACGCAGCAGACGAACACTCACAGTCCCGATGGTGCTGTCTTGCAGCTTGAGCTCGTTGACGTAGGTTATCTCGAAACCGCGGCCGACAAACACACAGTCCCGCTGCTGCCTTGTAGCTTGCACTCTGTACTCGTGGGTTATCTCCCCTCCCTGTGTGTGTTCAGATAAGGACGGTTATGGGGGTCATGCCTATTTCTTTCTTTTTTTTTTCAATCAAGTTTTATATAAGGCAGGAAAGGACGCCCGTGCATACAAAACAAAACATACTTTCGCAAAATCTTTTTCTTTTTTTTTGTAAAAAAATATAAAAAAGAAACATTGCGTCTTAGAGGAGGCGGAACAAGGACTTTCGCAACTGCGCGTAGACGCAAATTTGAGAGTCACAGGAATAAATAATACATCTTTCTACAGCGTTTCAAGGCACTCCAAGCGGTCTATTGGAATTACTCACATTTATTTTTAATCCTTTATTTCAAGTGAAATAAAATGGCGAACTTGTCTCTCTTGCGCAACTCTTTCATATTGAAGCATCTTTCGGCGATGCTTTACCAAAACAATAATTCTCGATTTTCTCCAAACTTCCCGCGGTAAACCCTTGAAAGCCGGTAATTCAGAGTCAATACAAACATGTAGCGTTATATTGTTTTAAATTAGAAAAGAAACGTTCAGCCTTTCCACTTTGGTAAAGAAGGAAGACCAGCGAAACTGTACGCTCGTGACGTGTCTCTTCGTCCTCGTCTGTTTTTCGCGCCTGTTTCCTATTATGAATTCCCACCAACTCGCCCAACTATCCATTCTTCTCTGATAGCTGGAAAGGTTGCCGCCATCTATGACCGACAGCGCCAACCAGACTGATTGTTTTGTTGCCGCCGTCGATCATAGGTGGCGGTAGCTGTTCAGAGTTTTGTGTACTTTTGCGTCTGCATTCGTTTGGTACCGGACACTAAACTGGGGATACTATACTTCGTTTCAGCTTCGGTCCGAGCGCGGCCGATGTTATGAGTGGAAGGGCCAATCAAACAGCGCAAAAAGCGCAGCGTCATGGCGTGCTCTCGGCGCTTGATAAGACTGGCCGGCGGAGGAGCACGCACAGAGAGACGGCGAATACCGGCTGGTCCTATCAACTGCAGAGAGCACGCCGTGACGTTGTGCCTCTTTCGCTGTTTGATTGGCCCTTCGGCTCATAACATCGGCCGCACTCGGACCGAAGCTGAAACGAAGTATAGCCCTTAACGACGCCATGTAAACAACAAAAAAGCAAACTTTTAGCCAGGTTTATGTTGCCGTCAAATACTGTTTTAGGGCGTGTGTCTAAACAGTCGCATTATCGCCCAGACCCCCATAAAGTATTATATAATAAAACCTGTAAGTTTTTTTTTATGTGGTTGATATTGTTTATGAAAACTGAACTTTGCGGGCCGTTTGATCCTTAGTGTTGTATTCAATTATTTCGCTGCAATGCGCTACCTTTCCAGGGTAGTTAGTACTTTAGTGTGGGTAGTCTGCTAAAAAATTGTTTGATTAATTTCCCTGAGCATCCCTATACACCCATTTCCAATTACAGTATACAGTAGCGGGCGTTACGAGCCATCTCAGTCAACTCACCTTAACAAGTGAAAATGTGCCACCGCACCCCTCTCGGAGGTATCGTGATCCTCACACTTGCACAGAGCCGTATATGGGAAGGGTTTGGACAGTCTATGATCTCGCCGCCCTCTCGAGTGAGCCAATCCGCCCGCGGCTCACAACGAGAGGCGTGAGCGCATGCGCGTGAACTCCCGGCTTCTCTCAGCCGAGCGGGAAGGGCCGTCAGTTTTATTCCATCCCCCCGCGGAATTCATAGCGGAATGCATGGGATCGATATCCAAATTTCGGTTCTCTCTTCTTATGTGACAGGCTCCGGCAAGGAAATGATAAAGTGTTATTCCTCGTTGGTTCAAAAAGCGAACGAATGAAGTTTCTCAACGTTTGATCTCAAACTTTTATTTAGGCGAAAAAAAAATAAGCCCGTAGCTGACGACGAGTAGCCTCAACAGTGTTCGGCGCCGACAGCGTTGTGTTAAAATGGCGGTCGTCTCCCCTCTTTGCTCCTTCTTTCTCACTAGCTTCTTCGGCGCTCTCCTCCTTTTCCTTCACTTTTCTTCTCTACAGCGCCTTCGTCGCCACACCCACTGGCCAAACTCTCCTAATATATGGCTCTGGACTTGTATGGCTTGTAGGTAGCTCCCTCTGTGATCCATCTCAAGGTAAAACAGCGCATAGGAACAAGCGACTTTACAGAATCTTACACCCCGACCAATGGCGAGCTTGGCGAAAGCAAAACAATAACAATTGTGTATAAAAAAATTAAAAAAGGGTGAAGTGGACAGCTCGGTAGAGTCATGAACCAGCGTTGCGCAGCCGTGTCAAGGACGCCTCCGGTGTTTGTAACGCCACTGCGCATTAGGTAATGTTTACACCACGCAGGAAGGCTCTATGCAGACTGCGAAAAATGGGTTCCGCGTAGGGGCTATATCTCCTTGCTCATTCATATCTGCAGCATGAGAATAGAAACCCGTATAAAGCAATATAACTAACGAAAATTTACAGAAAGGTTTTTTAATTATAATCAAAAATATTTTGTTTTTCTTTATTGATCCCAAGTTTGCATGCCAATATCTGAAGTTTGTCAGATAATCGGTCAAGGTTACATGTTTGAAAGTTTCTTTTTTGTAGCGTGAGCTACACTGGCCGACGTTGAGCAGTTTCGCGTGGCTCTCAAAGAGCCGTGCTGCGCATGCGCGAGGAGCAGTGACGTCACACGGCGCACAGCTGGCGCGCCGGAGCCGCCGCCGCTGCGCGCGCCTCGCCGGTCTGCGCATTTCAGAGGAGTGACGTCATAGCCGCGGCAGACGCACTGGCGCCGCCGCGTGCCCAGCTGTGCGCCTCCGTTGAGCAGTAGCCAAGTCTGACGCTGCACCGAAGCCGCTTGATAGCGCCTCTCATTTTGTGCGCCTAAGCTCACGCTACGTATATCCTGGCATAGCCGAGCTAAGCCTCAGCAATTTTTTCTATAAAACACGAGTAAGGTATAATAAATAACTGATATTATTTAGAAAAAAATGACCTGTACCCAGGCATGATTCGTCAAAATTAATCAAGTTCAAAATGTGCAAGTAGGCTAGATGGTACATGATTACTACGTATAACACCAAAAAACAAGGACAGAGTAAGGGTGGATATATGTTCATGTTTTATTTTTAATAAAATGCAGTTTTAAAGTAGCTCTTCGTGTGTGCACTCCTGCTCTTCCTCCTTGCTTTTTTGGCGCTGATACCTAATCATGAACTCGTGATAATCAGATGTTTTAACATTGAGCATCCACACTTTTGCGTGTGCAAAGAAATAGCATCATCGGCATACGGCCAACTCCAAACGCGGTTTGGGCTTAGCACATGCGTACTGTGGCCCCATTCTCTTTCCTTCGACTAAGCTTTTGGACACTATAATCTAAAATTTTGTAATGTTATTACTTAAAGGGGCCGTGAAACGAATTTTGGGCTGGGATGAATGATTTTAAATTGGGACTTTAATAATCGCATATCGTTTAGTTGGCCAAAAGAAAGAGAGTAGAAAGTCAAAAGCCAGCTTTTCGGTACGAACATTTGAAAATATAGCGGACCTATTTTGTAGCTTCTTTCCTTCGAAAGCTCTCAGCCTTTTCACTATTGCCGAATTCCACTGGTCGTTTTGGAGCGCGCCGGGATCGACTTTTCTGGAGCGAGCCTATTTCACTAGGCGATCGGGATCGAGACCGACGTGTTTCACTGGTCGTTTTGGATTAGCTCCCGCTCCAGATCACGATCTGGATCCGAGAAAAGTCGCTCCCACGATTTCGGTGGATTCTGCCGCAAGCCAGCCGGGCCAGCCCTCGGCGCACACACGTGACTTCCTTTCTCGTCGGTCATCTCGCCTGATTTCGCCCATCTCGCCTCAGAAGAAGAAGCACGTCGCGGGCTGGGCTCCTAGATTGTCTCGACATCAGAAGAATTCGTAATGGCCGCTCGCTTACCCCTTGACTCGACAGCCGGTTCGTTTTCCAGGAAGGAGAAGAGAAGGTATTTGCCACGCTACGGGCATTCCGGCAATCTTTGCTAGTAGCGCCTGAGCCATTCCTGCCGCTCGTGCGTCGAACACGTGTTAGCGTCGCAATTACAAAAACGTCTTCGAAATGACCGCGGCGGCCGCGGAAAGGGGATTCCCGGGCAGTTGAATGACGGGAAGGCATCCGCCAATCCCGGAGCAGTGGTCATGATCCACTGGGGATCCGTAGGCGGCGCGACCCCGTTCGGATCGTGTGCTCCAGTCCGGATCTGGTCAACTGATCCCGGCGCGCTCCAAAACGCCCAGTGGAATTCGCCATATGATACATCCGCGGTTCCCAAAGCGCGTCAGCGGTGCCAACCTGACGTCAGCCGAGCCCAGCTCACGCACTGCACACGAGAACTGCGTCAGTCGGACGTATGCGCTCGTCAACAATAAATCCGTGGACGAATATTTGGATTCGCGTTCGTGGCCATTGAGTGCCCTGACGGAACTAATCGTCACTGGGGAATGACAAGTTCTATGGTGTGCCTAGAAAGCACGGTGGAAGCTAGGAGTCATCGCACCGGTGCCGAAGAATGTCACGACGACGTGATTTCACAATTCGCATTGAGTTTAGGATTAAAGCTAAGGAGGAAGAAGTAATAAAATAGTTTCATGATCCATTTAAGGCTGCGGTCCCACGGCAGCCATCTTGAACAAGGCGTTAGTTCAACCAATAGATGGCGACACGCACCCGTGGGGTGGCCGAAACATTGGTTAACAGTGGGATGGCTCGAGCATCATTATGTTCCCCTCGTGGCCTTGCTCGCGTCGCTGCCAGCTCTGCTCAGCTAGCTCAAGTAGCGTGGCCCAGCAAACGGATGTATGCGAGAATGTCACGCTGGGTATAAATTGTTATCTGATATAGGGAGATGCGGTTCGGCGGTTGTAACGGGCTTTCGCAATAAATCTTACCAAGAAGGAATCAAATGTTGATTGACGTGTCAATATTCTATCAATGAAAATTTCTTCTGCAGGAATGCACGCTCGGTAGACTCAATCTTCCAAGACACCAGTGGAAGCGA